TTTACACATGGCCATCCACTTTCCACACCCACTCCCCCCGTCGCACCACTTGCACGTGCAGTCACAGTTGGCATGCATTGCAGGCATCAACAGCTCAAGGCCTTCAGGTACAGCCCCTGCTGCTTGTGGATCTGGCATGCGCACTGCGATACCTTGGGTTCCACTGTGACAAACCAGAAGCGAACAGTTGAAACAAACAGAGGGGAGGACAATGGGTCAGCAAAGAGGCCGTCCTCCTGGGGCGGTGACACAGCAGAAGAGTCCATTACGCTGGAACGGTCACTAAAAAAACGGAGCTCTCCCCTCATGTCTACCCACCTAAACACCCACACCGCGTCGAGAGGAACAGCGTCCGCCCAGGGTCCGTGAAGCTGCTGTCTTCCCTCAGCAGCTCCGCCTTAAGCCCCAAGTACTCCGGCCACTTCAGAAACTTGCGCCATACTTGGTCCCCCGCAACCATGAGCTGCCTACGGGGGTGATACTCCTCCCCTGCCTTCTTGGACGGCCTCCACATAGCTTTCGTCCCTACAGGGGTGTACGAAAGAACAGCAGTGTGCAGTGTAGCAGCAATAGTGAAGCTATTCAAAGGGGTACAGAGAAGTGTAGTTGATACGTCACATCGACAATTGTACAACAACAAAATTTGACAGCGCTTACCGGAGTCTCCCGACGCACGAGAAATATCGTCAGAGTGCCAGAACCTCCTCGCCAAACCCATGACACGTTCGTCCATCTTGTCGCTCCTTTCCTTGCGAGGAGCCCAGAGGTATCTCCCCTTCTCCAAAGCTTCCTGTGGAGGTATGGTGTGGTCAGTCCTGTGCATCCGGGTACGCGCTGCACGGAACGTATGGTATCTCACACCGAGACCCTCTGCTCACGCGGCAAGGCTGACGGCACCCTGCGGCTCAGCAGGTGCGCACGGCTCATCCGGGGTGCAAGGGTCATCAGGATCGCACGTGTGCTCCGCTCCAGCAGCTGCGGCAATGACGGTGTTGTAGGCAGCGCGGCCGATGTTGCTGTGGGAGAGTAGCTTCAGCGTCTCTATAGAGGCGACCAGTGCGTGAATGTTCTCCGCATCGACAGCAGCCTTCGTCGCCGCTGCCTCTCCAAGTTCTCCGACACACAGTAACTCCCTCAGCTCCTCCTTCAACACATCATCCTCTAACACGCTCTGCTTCACCCCGTCGTGGTGCCGGTCGATAGCCTGTTTGATTACGATAAATTTTGAAGCAGTTTTTAGCGAGAGAGGGGGGAAATGTGAGGATGGGACTCAACAGTTTCGTGGGAAGATGGAGAGCAGGGGAAATATACCGGAAATACAGTAGTCTCGCCTACAGGGAAATTAAAACATTTGAGAATTACGCAAGATATCACCCTAACTCTTGCCGTACACCGCTCTGAACTCACCGTTTGCCGTTGTCGTGGACGAGTCGTCGTGGGTTGTGGGCTTCTCCTCGGTCCGCTGAAAAGAAGCGCCTCAAGCGGATCGGAGCGAGCGAGACGTGCATCGGCTCCTAACCTTGGACCTCGTTCGGCAGCAGCAGCAGCCACCGCAGCAGCGGCAGCAAATCTGGTGGCGGCTCCTTCCGGTTTCTTCTTGCGACGTTTAGTAGCCCGTTCTCGGACGTCATCAACATGCTCTCGGGCCATATGTACAACGCCCTCGAGGTCATCCACCACAGAGCCTATTGCCTTGGTAGCCGCAGTCTCAGTGCCCTTCTTCAGCAGCGTGGAGGTCAGCTGGTAGCCCTTGGCGTGCGTGAGCCATCTGTGCTTGATGACCCTCGTATCTCCCGCAATTTTGATATCTCGCCTCAGCATGGTGGCAGCAGCCGCCACCGTCCAGGCGACGGGAAGGGAATGAGCAGTATCTCGTCGAGGTGGGGTCGGGAGACCCTGCAGTGAGTTCCTTTATGGGTAATTCGACCAAGCGGAGTCGATTGGCGGGGTGGACGAGTCGCTCCGAGTTGATCTTCCCTGTGGATTAAATCCCGCCGCATTTATTTTCGTCCAAAAGTGGCGCGAAAAATATGTAGATTTTTTGTACATGCCGGAAATGGCTTCTTCTGCCGGAAATGGACCTAGAACCGTTTTTTTTTTTTTCATACCGACGGAAACTCGACGTGCACCCTCCGCATTCGGTACGGAGACCACTTCGCGAAGTACCTCCGCATACCCTCCTCCCCCTCGCTGCCTGCCTTCTCCCGAAAGAAGCTTCGCAAAAAGCTGACCACCCCGTCCGCCCCCATGATTCGCTTGCCAAATCTCTCCCTCCTCTTTCCCCCCCGGTGGTTACCATCGGGGTTGGGTTTTCGTCGCTTGGCAACGACGTTGCAAAACAAGCCGCCCCCCCCGGTGTTTGCCATCGGGATTGGGTTTTCGTCGCTTGGCAAAGACGTTGTAAAACAAGCCNAGGATGATCGCGCCACGTTGTGTTAAAATGGTGAAGCACCCTCGAGGCAGTTACACAGTGC